CCCCAGAGCTGGATGCAGTACTGCAGGTGGGGTCTCACGAGAGCAGAGTAGAGGGGCAGAATCCCCTCCCTGGACCTGCTGGCCATGCTGCTCCAGATACAGCCCAGGATACGGTTGGCTTTCTGGGCTGCCAGCGCACACTGCCGGCTCATGTCCAGCTTTTCATCCACCAGTACCCCAAGTCCTTCTCCTCAGGGCTGCTCTCGATCCACTCTCCACCCAGGCTGTATCAGTAGCTCCAGGGCTTGGTACCACTGAGACTTGGATTAGAACTGCCTGTCAGCCCATTAATTATGTTTCTATTCTCTTTTTAAGCATAAACTAGGTAATTTAACATTAGCTTGGTAAACTCTTAAGAGAGTCTGTGTCTTATGGAAAAATCAAATCACTAAACAGCTTTCTTAAGGGGGTTTTGTTGGATGTTTTTATTGCAAATATTTTGGGTGACCACAGCTGGCAGTAGTCATAACCATTTGAAACCTACCATACTTTCTCCCTAACTTACTCATTCTGGCGACTTTTATTCTTCTTGTATACTTTGTTTTTTAAAAACCCGTGAAAATAGGATGTAAGCATACACTAAAGTAGAGCAATATGAGGACATAAAAAATATTTACATGCAGTTTTAATTCCATTTTTATTTCAAACTAGAATAAGCACCTTTCAAGATTTTTTTTTTGTTTTTTTTCCAGAAGTAGTATCTAGCCTTTGTGGGCTGTCAGCTTGGTAGGGAAGATTTATCCAGTTTACATGTGAGAAACTCAGCTGGATTGCTAGCTAAATAATGTAAGCTATGTAAGATCTGTGGTGCTGGGCACAGAGTATGGAACAGTGCTCGTGAAGGATTTAGGTCACCAAAGGTCTGGCATGCAGCTATGTGTTAGCTATAAATAATCCAAACCTTCTCCTGCATGGTAGCGTGCTGTTGAGCGCGTGGGCTGCATGCAAAGCATTTTCCGTTGTCATCATCTGGATGGAGATGTTGTGGTTGGTGCTGTTGAGTTCCCAAGCACTTTGGAGATGGTGACCACTTTTATTTCAAGGGTGCACCTTATTCTCCCATTGTGCAAGCTGCAAAGTGAGCCTGGCCTCCCCTGAGTTTTCCTTCTGTTGTCTCCCCAGATTCCTGCTTTCCCACAGTGTCTTAGTAAATTGTAGGTCAATCAAATGGCCTTTTGGTTTTGAAGCATCAGGAGGACTCAAAACAACTAAAAGAAATAAGTTTTTTACAAAATTTGCAATAGTTCACAGAATATTGAAAGACCGACAGCCAGCAGTTGTTGGGAAGAAAGAGAACACTTACCCTGTGGGCATCCTTAAGTCTCTTGAGTGAAATCTGGATGAGTTGTAAAGACAGTGTAGAGAAAACCCATGAGGCATTCGTGAGAAATGCTTATTTTGTAAGAAATGTTGCCATGTGACATTATTTCATAGGAAGCTTTTAACTAGATGAGAGAAGGAAATAGTTGAACAAAGCAATTTATTGGCTGTTGAGCACTTTTTATCTGAGATTGTAAGGTTCTTCTCTTACCATACAAAATTGACAACAGTTTATGAAGCAGATAGGTAAGATTACTGAAGTAGGAAAGCTCAGTGATTTCTGCCAGGAAAAATAACAAGTAGATATCATGGTGGAAGTAGTAGAAGTTATTCGTGCTTTTTCACTGCCGTTTGCTTTTACCTCAAGACCTTTCTTCAATCCTTCCCGCAGGGTCCTGACTTGACAGAGTTTATGGTTTTACATTTAAGAACAAGGAGGTTTCTTTCTCTCTCTCCCCTGGGTAGAGTCTTGTACATGTATTGCTTCCTTTATTTTTTTGGTCATTAGAATACGCTTTCTGTCGTATTTCCAAGAATAAAAAAGGAACTGCTCAAACGGGGTGTCCTTAAGACTGCAGGAGATGATGCTCAGCAAAAGCCTGTCTGTCTGCTAAGTTAATGAATTAACATTTTTTTACCTATTGGTGTGTGGTATGAGGCTGGAGATACTGAGGCACTTTTTTAGACGTTGCAATGTCTAGACAGTAGTGTGACCAGCACTTCACTCTTACTGGTGATGTGCTTATGGCTTTTGACTCCCTACTTGATATAACATTATCTTCAATGTCTTGGGCCCTTCTGAGTCAGTCTGATGAAATTTATGAATGTTGCTGAGATTGAATTCTTTGACATTCTGTCAAAGTTACCTTCAAGTGTCATATTCTCTAGAAAGCAGTCTCCACTGACCGTACGTGCTGCGCAGACAGTCGGCACTGCATCTTCATCCCTGTCTTGTTCAAAGGCACTTTTCAGAAGTGCAGCAATTCTTTGTCAAAGCCGAAAAGGACATCTCTGCCTTGATACTGAACTTGTAATACTGGGGTGTGCAGTTAATGTGCCCCTTTTGCCTCCATGGATGTGAGACTTCTTTATGCACCACTGATAAAAGGGCAGGGCTGTACTTAAGAATTGTGATGGCATTGTTAATTTAATTTTTATTTTTTAAATTTAATTTTCTCTGTAAATTCATGTTTTCTTTGCTCAGTTCAGCTAAAAATTACATATACCCAACAAGGACATGATGTGATTTCATATGTTGGTTAGTACCTTGCCACTCAATATAATTCAGATTAATAACTTTATCACATGAATTATACTGTGTGGGACAGAAAACCAAATTTTTTGAGCTTAGTCTTTTCTTACTTAAAGATCTGCTATGCCACAATTCGTAGGAATTCTTTCTAATGGGGGTGAGAGATGGATAAGGAGACAAGAAGGGTGCCAAAGTGTGCAGCAGGATACAGTTTTTGTTGATGTCTTTTTCAGAATTACGGATTTTATAACTGCAAACACATTCCTCTTTCTAGCATGTTTCTGTTGAATGAGGGTTGGGTTTTATTTTCTCTTTCAGAATAACATGGTTATTAAAAGTAAAGCTAGTGGTACTGCATGTATTTCCCACTCTGTTAGTCTGTACAGTATCCTTGGTTTGAGGTTCTTAAAATACTCGCCAAGCATTTAATGAATGAAGCTTCACAGCAGCCTTTCTGGCATTTCTGGTTTTGCAACGAGGTATAGGTACATCTGCTGCGTGGCTGGGTGCCTCATGTGTTGATCAAGCCCTGCTTTGCGGTATAACTCCTTTGCCCTGGTCGCAGGGAAAGGTGGTGTCACGCTGCAGCCTGAGGGACTGAACCCAGGGGAAGAGAGGTCTTGCAGTGATGTAGTGGCTGATTAGTTGTAGGGCTCTCTCTGTACAGACACATATGGATGCATGCTGGCCCTGGCACAGTTCTGTTAGTGCTAACGTGGGGTTTTGCCTGTTTTGGTCTGTTATGTTGCTTTTAAGATAGATAATCTTAAGTTTGACCTATATTAAGCTGGATGTTCGCGTAGGCATAGATCCAGTCTCAGATGGGGGGCATGTGAGAGTGGAAGTTGTCCTCACTGCCTGTCCTTGCTGCCTTGAATGTTTTGTGGGTTGATAGGATCTAGCCTGGGTTTGCTATGTCTGTCTTTTCCAAGTCCCTAACCCAGTTCTCCTTTCAAAAGGGTTTGTGATTTCCAGCCGATTCATACCATTCTGCTCTCCACTATTGCCTCCTCGAAGCACAGGCCTGTTATTATAGTAGTGGCTTTCAGACCCCATCTGCAGCTGTTCGGGTCTTGACTTCTTAAATTATAATAATTTTAGTCAAACAGCGGGAGACCTGTACTCATTTTTTCTCCTCAGAAATTAGCTGCTGAAACACTCTGAAGAGAAATGTTTTAAGAGGGTTACGTGGTTGCAATTGTGGAACTGGTGAACTTGAACCAGCTACTGGAGCTCCTCTTTCTGTTATTACACATAGCTATTATTTATCTCAGACAGAGTGGAGATCAGCTAGCCAAAGTGCATAAAGAGATGTTTTTGTCATGACTTCCCATATTTGAAATACATTTCAAACAAAATATTTATAGGTTTTTCTGAATATGAGTGCTGTACTTGGTATTTCTGGAGTAAGGGAAACCTGTATTTTTAACCAGCTAGTAAGCTTCAAAATGTAGCTGTACACCTGAAATTAGCATCAAGCAGGTGTATTTTCAAAGGGACCTTGTAGAAATTGCCCATTCCTCTTTGGAGACCTGTGGAAACAATATTAAATTCTTGCTGTAATGATTCTGCACGAGAGGAATCTGACACTGCAAGACCCTGCTGAAGATTGCCTTGGGAAGAGTCTGTCCCCCTATCCAAAAACTTTCCTCATGTAACTTTCTTTGATAAATGTCTCCCGTGATCCTTTGAACATTAACCCACGGAAGTCAAATACCCTGTATGGCCCAGCATTCGGTAAAGGATGGTAGTAGGGAAGGGCGACTGAAGACGTGTGAAACTCTTCCCTTTCACTGCTTGGCAAAGGACTGTATCAGGGAACTTCAGCGGATAGGGTCAGCACCAGAAGTTGCCTCACTGAAATTCGATTGAAGAGTTGGATGCCATTTGAGCATAGTTGGTCCTTAAGCTTTTGAAGAAGTGGGCTTAACCCCTGCCCTGGCTTGCCCAGCAATTCTGTTGGGTATTTGTGTGTGGGGGTTTTCGATCAAGAGAAATGCAAGAGGAATTTTACATCCTATCGAAACAGTCCATGTGAAGAAGGAGGTGCAAGGCCATTTGTTTGGCCTTGAGTCGTTTGTTTGTTTTACATTTTGTTGTTTATTTTTCTTTTTATGCTGAAGTTATATGACAGTGTTCTGGGAATTAATCCGATAGTGCTGGACAGTGGAATGATTTTGAAGAACGTGATGGAGAAGATTGTTTCCATGCTTTGATGTGAAAAGCCTAAGCTTTAAAGAACTTCCCTTCCAAAAATGTTGTCACTCACTCCTAAATGAAGGGAAAAAAACTACGGATGTAATGAAAAAAGGAAGAAAGTATCATTAATGTAGCATTAGGGATTCAACTAGAACAATGCAACCTGTTATAATTCAAGCTACTTAGAGAAAAAACATGGAAAAGAATGCAAAATACAGTCCTGCTGTGATGGCAGGGAAAGCTGCTGTCACAGTGTTTCCATCCCGCGTATTACTCAGTCATCAGTACTCTCTCTTCTTCTGGTATTTCAGGCTTTTATCTCATTTTGCGCAATTCAGCCGTATCTTGTCCCTTTAGCCTCCCGACTAGTTCATATAACTCAGTATGATTCTGCCTGGGGAAAGATTTTAATTAACAACGTGTAAAGACTAAAGGGAACAAAGGAGTTTTTAAAAACACTGCTTTGAGACGGGCAGGTGATTTTGCATTCTGATTTTTTGTTTCATCGGGTGATCTCTCCTGCTTGTTTAACCGGTCGGCGTGTACAGATGCGGGTCCTACAAAACTTCAGGTTCTGCGCCTTCGCTTCTTGCACGCCCAGCAGCCACGCTGAAGTTGGTGGGTGTTGTGGGTGTGCAAAAAGGGGTGAGGGATGAGGTCTCCCTCTGTCTCTATTCTTAGCCTTTAGCCTGTGGATTCCTAAGCAAAGGCTATCGGGAGTTTTCCAGAAAAAGGTCTTGGGGTATACGTAGGAAACGGGCCTTTCGGGGGATGCATTTTGTAGTGTGACAGCTGTAGGAGAGTTGAGAGTGTAATTTCACATGACATGATTACACTGTAATATACTATTTTGGTTCTCCTAGTCTGTATGGCCGCATCCTCTTAGAACATTTACACTAGAGCTTATTTCAGGCAGCCTGTACGTAGGTTTTTATGGAAGTGCCATACTGAGGTATCAAGGACAATGAAATTGACATTGTGAGGGGTTGAATACCCTTGCAGGGTTGCATTGCTTCAAATCCTACAGGAGGTTGGGGCGAGTGTTCACCTTTCTTTTCCTAATAAAATAAACTCCTAAAGCTGTCCGTGCCCAGGGCAGTTAAAATGACCATATTCAGTAGAAGAATTTTTGCTGTACAACCTCCAAAATTAGTGAACTCAGCTTTTGCTTTGATCAGCAAAACCTGTAAATAAGTGGACTGGAAAAGGCAGGAGGCACTGGGGGTCCTAATTCAGCTGGTTGTTTGCGGTGCCTTGGGTTGTCCGATGCAGCCTCCGTCTGTAGTTCCCACAAGGAATGCATCTCCCAGTAGACCTGTATCATATGGGTCCTACGTAGATGTTGTAGATAGCCTAGTGTGTCTCAAATGGCTCTTGCCATCAGTGGTTAGGCAGCTGAGGGAAACTCTGTGTTTCTGCTGTTCCTACTCCGATGGGCTATATTGATTTACTTTTTTAATTATTTAAATTTTTAATTTTGAATGGGCTAACACAGGGTCTGTGATTCTGGGTGAGTCACAGTAAGGAGGATTAAGAAAGTTCTGGAGGCTGCAAAAGGTTTTTCAAGTTTTTACTTTCAATCAATTATAAGTTTTGGGGATTTGTTGGGATTTGTTGTGATTTCTTTTACTGTTTTCCACCAGTTTAAATCTGGTCTGAAAACAAGACTTGATGCTCCCCATACAGGCAGAACACCATAGGTCTGTTCTAAGGCGGTGCTATAAAAGTGCATCTGGGATGAGATATAGGAATAAATAACTGTGCATTGCTCGAATATAGAAATAAGATTGTTTCCATATTTGAATAAATAAATGAAATTAAATGTCATGCAGTGCGAGGACAGCCCGTGCCAGGCTCTATGTGCTGGTGCAGAGTGTGAATCTGATTCTGTGCTCCCCTTTGAAAGACTCTGTTGCTTTGGAGGAAATCGGTAGTGCCAAAAGCCAATGGCTTGTGCCATCGCTCCAAGTGTTGCTGTGTGTTGAGCTAGGAATACGCTGTACATCCTTCACGAAAATGTGTTTGTCTTTATGAGTGTGTTTTCACTGCCTAGCTGTACTCTTGTTTTACAACATTTGAGGAAAAAATCTGATAATTCTGTTCAGTAGGTCTGGTTTTGACTTTACATATTCGGATTCTTACAGTGATTGTGAATCCGTTGACTTCAGACACATTACTCCTGATTACACCAGGGTCATCTCATGATGAGGGGCCAAGGTATTAAATGGAAATAGACCCAATAAAAGCCATCAAGCTCAGACGTACTCTGTCCTCACATGCTTGATCTCAACAATAAGAACTGGTGATTTATAAATCATGTTGTCTGTTTGCTTCTTTGTCATTTAATTCTTTTTTTCCATTGACTAAATGAAGATGTTCTGACCTTAACTCATCCCTTGTGAATTTGTTTGAAAAAAGCAGGATAGCTGTAGCCCTTAAATGTGACTCAAGCTTTTGTTTGGATTTAGTGAGCGTCATCTTATTTTTTTAAAGGAAACACATTTCACTTGACCTCTAGGATCTGGCAGGACTTTCTGCATCCTCTCTTTCATCACTTCATCTTCATGGCTTTTTTTTTTTTGATATTTTTCTACATTTTCAGAAGGAAGACTGGCCAATGCACAAGCTAGAATGTTCTGCCATGTGCGCTTTTGGGCAGAACTGGAATCCCTCGGAGACCGTGAGGCTAACGGCGAGGATCCTTGCCAAGCAGGTGAGCAGGAGGCTAGACTTGGGAGATATGTTTCTACTGTGGGTGCCAGGAAAATGAAAATTGACCGACAGTAACTGTCCCTGCAAAGCACATACGTGCTAGCTTCCTGCGTACGGATGGGTGTAATAGAAGAGCATGAGCAGCTGAACGGGCTGACCGTCAGACCACTGCAGCAGCACCAGGGCCACTGGAGTCCAGCTGGAGACTTTTGGGGGAAAGTGGCAAAAGGCTAGTGACGACTTAAGCTACGTAACTGCGACTTCCGGCTAAGGTACTGTTGAACAGGGTCTGTAAAAGTTTAGTGGTAGTTTCACTAAGTGCACGGTGTTTCAGCCTGCGTTCTGGTAGATTGGAGCTCTTGGCTACGTGTGTGGGCTAGCACCGAGGTGAAGGTGGTGAAGAGAAAAAAGAAGGATGGTTAAATTGTGAGGAATGCTCCGAGTGTTACCCATCTGCAGGTGCTGATGTCTTCATGAAGCAGTTGCCCCTCGTACTGTTTTTCAGCTCTATCTGCCTAGCGTTGTGTAGTATATGACTCCCAGTGCATTTGCAAGTCAAGAACACCCCTGAGGTATTCAGGTGTAAATGTTTACAATTACTGGAGTTAACTGGTGAAAAACAGAGATTGAGAGAGGAATCTCAGGCCCTTGGTCTTTGGTGGAAAAGAATATTATTAGTAAGGAAATAAGATTGCAATGTCAACCTCCATTTCAGTATTCCCTATCCGTATGGATACTGAGGATAACACAAGTGCTTACAGGGAGAGGACGGGATTCATGAGTTTCAAGGTTATTATGCTGCCTATCTTTGTAGAGCTCTAAACTCTCTCTGCAAAAACAAATCCTCTTTGAAGCATATTTGTGTGATTGAGGTCTGCCTATGTGACAAGGGCAACCTGGATGCTGTATGTAGTGAGGATTTTGGTGGCCTGCTGGGAAGGTGGCTGCATACTTGCTGTGTGTGTAGATGCGTGTGTGTGAATGTATGTGTGTGTTACTTAATTAAAGCGTGGTTTAGTGGTGATCCACAAACAAAATCGAATGTTTAATGACAAAAAGTCATTGGAATAAATCTGTGCTTTTATCACTTACGGGGAGGGGGGAGAACCCTACATGTCATATAAAAGCTAAATATGCAAACCATAGTCCCTGAACCTCAGCTGCTGGGCCACCTGCAAAGCCATATTTAATGGCCAAGATTACAAAGAAGTGGCCTTAGGCCAACAATGGAGCATTGCTTTTGAACTCTGTCAACAGTCAGTTTATTCACTTTCCTCAAAGCAAAGCCTGTCTCCTGCTTGCTTGCTATTGTTAGCAGCTTTCTGGGTGTCTAGAACAAAGCAAATGACATATTTTAAATACTGTTCAGTTTATGTATATAAATTTGATAGGAGTTAATCTTTAGCCGCCTAATTTGGTGCGGAGAGAATATTTCTATGGCTCTAATAAGAGCAGTCAATTTAACTCATTGCTGCTCATCAGCTTCTGTAAATTCCATACGGTGGATTTGGGTTTGTTTCACAGGTTGGAGTTCCCAGCTTACGCCTGAGTAGACAAAACTGCCAACTTAAAACACTAAAGTATTTTCATCTTCTTGTTTTTTCTTTTTTTTTTTTTTCCCCCTTATTACTAGAAAACTCACCCTGAAAGAACACAGTCGGAGAAGCTGCTTGCTGTAAGAGAGTTTGAGTCACGTAAGTAGAAAAAGGCTTGCAGGTAAACAGAGGCAGTTATCTACATTTGTGATTTGCTTCCCCCTGCCCCCCCCTCCATCAGAACCTTTCGAAGTATCCTACTCCTGATGGAGGAAGGGAGTAAAGAAAGAGAACTGTGGTTCCTCGTTTTTTGAAAGTCCAGTGCTCTTCCTTCTTTCTTTTTCTTGGTCGTTTGTGGGGGCTGTGAAACAAGGGTGAAAACCTAGACAGAATTAATTATGTAGTATACATCCATCTCATGGCTTTTCTGGTACTCTAGTGTCTTTTGAGAATTGTAATGTTGTAAAATTAAAATAGCTGGTATTTGTTACCAGGAGGCATAAAATCAGAGACAGCACAGTTGCTTGATGGTGACAGTGACTAAGGGGCTAATTGCAGAACCCTCTGGACTGTGCTTCAGTATCTGTCATTGCCAGTCAAATCTGACATGTTATATATGATTGTGTTGAAATTCCATGTCCTAAATGCTCCAAAATAATCCAAGGAAGGAGATGAGGCAATGGCTTGCTTTTAACTGGAAGGCTACTCTTCACGTCCGGTGAGGCAGAGTTAGAAATTGAGCAACTGGGGGACTAGGAACCGTCCTGGCATAGTTTTCAGTGATCTGTCATTCTCTTTCTTGGTGCTGGAGGTAATACCCAGGAGGGAGTAGGTTTGTGTGTTCACGTTTCTCGCTCTGATGGCTTCCAAAACCCTTTATAAAATGTCGAATAAATGCAGTCATTGCTAGGACTTGAGGTAGCAGAATAACCGTGCACAGCAAAATTGCAGTCTTGTTTGCTTCCTGAACAAAAGTTCCTGTCACAGCTGTTGGGACAACTGGGAAAATAAGGGGGGAAAATGCCAACATATGACTTTGCCTAAGGCAAGGGTAATTTTTACAGGTAGGTTAGTAGGATTGAGGTTGAGGAGGATGGGTAATGAGGAGATGGCTGAAGTAGTTTCTGTATATTCTTCTGCATTGCAGCCTGTCTTCAATAATTGATTAATTCAGGAGCTAAAAGGCTGAAATCTTTTTTTCTGTTGCAATGTCCCCTTGTCCTCTAGGAGCCCTTGTTTTGCTTCTAGCTTTGTTAGTAAGAACCTCTGTTCCTTCTGCCTTGTTGACTCTCCTCGTCTCTTAGCACACCTTTGCCATGTTCAGCAGTCGCCTTGCACTTTGCAACACCCTGCGCAGGAGTGGAAAGGGCACCTGGCTCTCAGTTAGAAGCTTTAAATTTCTTATTTCTGATCTGTCCTAATTCTGATCAAATCGTCCCATTTAATTTTCCTCAGTATTTTTTGTGACTCTTCTGTCATTCACATCTGCTCTTACACATCATTTCCCCCTTCCCCACTGTTGTGCAGCCTTTTCTTTTCCTGCATGTTTATTACTATTTTGAGTTGGAGAGGGGGAAACTGAGGAGTTGCTGGCTCTCTTAAAACAGGGGTGAGCTGGTGACGCTGTCAGGGTGAGAAAGAGGATTAGGAAGAAACTTTCCAACACTCTGCTCTTGAAGAGAGAGAAGGGACCAGGAGTTATGGTCGATATCTAGCTTGCTCTGCATGGACCAGGCAGGAAGAGGTTCAGTGGCCACAGCTTTGGCTAGAACCTGTCACGGGCCTGAGGGTAAATCTCTGAACAAGCCCATACGGGAATATGCTTGGCAGGTGTGCCAGGATGTTTCCACTCATGTGCCTGCCGTCTCCTGTTAGATATCTGCAGGTCAAACACACCCCCACTGGTGGTCACCCCCCAGCCCGTGGAGACACGGCACACTCAGACACTGTTTGTTCCCTCCTGAAGCAGATGCCTGCAGTAGGTCAGGGGGATTGCACTGCTGGGCACCCTCCCTCTTGCTGCACAGGGAACCCCTTGTGACTAGCCCCAGCGTTACTGGCAACCTTTGTTAGGTCCCCATCACGCATGCCACAGTTAGGGCCTCTCTGCTGGGAAAGACCATTTATCCTTTAAAAGCAGGGCTGAAAGGCCTTCCTTAGCATGAGCCTGGGCTGGTTTGTACTGGTAAGGATTAGGTCCGTACGAGGAAGGTCCACTATGTAAAGCATGTTTTAAGAAGTGTGATGTTGCGTGTGACTTCATACCGGTGCAGATGGCACTGGGTAGCTCACAAGGTTGTGTTAGGCAGCAGAGGATAGCTACCCACAGTTGGTAGGCTTCTGGAGGGCCTGGCCTGGCCGCTCTGTTGGCTGAGGTTAACAAATGCATTTTAAACACTGTAACCCTTCTCCGAAGACAGGGAAATTTCTGTCCAATTACCTGCTAACGTAAAGATGTTAGAAAATGCTTTTTAATTCTGCATGTTCTTGTAGCGCACATGTGGCTTTGGCAGCAGCAGCATTACGTTTATGGCAGAACAGACACTTCCTGCGGTACTTCCAAGCACCTGTTCCTTGAGGGGTTTCTGTTTAAGTCCGGGCCTGTTCTAACTACCCCCGGGCTGCAGTTCACGGGGGAGTGTTCCTGTTACTGAAATGGAATATATTCTTTGTTCACAGACCTTGACAAACTAGACAATGAAAAGAGGGAGCTGATTCAGAACGACATTGCTGCTCTTCATCACTTTTACTCAAAGCACTTGGAGTACCCTGACAATGCTGCCCTTGTAGTTCTCTTTGCACAAGTAAGTTGGCTAGAACACAGCCTGCTTAGGTGGATGGTGCTGTAGGAGTTTAGCCTTTGTGAAAGGGGAAAAATGTTAAGGGCAATGGTAGCTCGTTTCTTCTCTTAAGGAGACCTGAGTGTGCTTGGTGGAGAAGATGCACTTCCTTGAGCAGAAGTGGCTGGACATGCCCCATTTCAGTAGGGAGAGGAGATACTCTTGTCTGCACATGTTCTGTGAGGTGCTTTTGAACACTGAAGAAGAGGGAAAACGGCCTGTATTAAACCCTGTCAAAGTTAGGCTTCTTGTGGGCCTAGCATAGCAGAGCTGTTGTTGGGCTGACAGAAGGCTGCTGGCCTGAGACCCTGCAGTAGCAAAATCCTTCATCCAGGCTTCAAACTTGTGGCAATCCTTGCTGTTCAGGTCACCGTTGTGTTTGACCTTCACAGGGAGTAAACTTCAGAGAAGTAGAAAGAGCAGTCTGAAACTTTTATCTGGTGTGTGGCTTTTAAATGGAGCCAGCTAGTTTGGTCATCTGGAGAGATGAAGGAAAGGCAGGATGTCTTATTCGGTAACTTCAGAAATGTGTCACCCCTTTTTTCTCAGCTGCTTTTAATATGCATCTAAATGTGGATGGAATAACACACTGCTGGAATACTGAAAGATCCATTTTCTTTCTCCTCCTGTACTTCAAAATAAGCTAGTTTTAAACATCTGAGTAAAAAGTTTAATTATTTTGAGATGGGGCAGATGTTGGCTGCTGTGATGAGACCTGAGATGGCAATACCCTGGTTGGTAGAGCTGGGCATCTGCCCACAAGGAGGCACAGTTACTCTTTCCATAACACAGAGGTGCTGACATTCTGTAGAATGATTCTTGAGCGTGCTTAGCATTTGCTCGTTGTCCATGGTGGTGTGTCTACTTATACATTTCCTTTCAATGTTTTTTTGTGTGTGTTTTGAAGACTTTACAATTTGTATTTGTCATAGGGATACTTTAAAGACATCAGTATATCCAGTTTCTTACGGTGTTTCTGAATATTTTTGTTAGAATATAGCCAGAACCCCTGAAGATTATATTATTTTGGCTATAAGGACTTTTGCTTCCTGTCCTGGACCAGCTCCACCAGATCATGGTACTTGAACTGACTTCTGCAAACTCCTAGATCTGGTATTCCATCCGTTCTTCTCTGTAGATGTCTAATGTCACACTTAGGTGTCACTTTAAGCTCGTTCTGATCATCAGGCAACTATCTGCTGCAGTGGACACTGCAATATTTTGACCTAAAATCTCTAAAGGTCATCCAGATGCTCCTCAGAATTGTTTTACAGGACGTAGCCTTTTGAGGTTTTAGCCCCAGCATAGGTCTTTCTAGAAGAAGGGAGACATCTCTGTACTTGATATGCACAGATGTATTTCCTAATAGTTAACGTGATGTAAAACCCATAGAATGGACGTGCTGCTGCTTCTTTGTTTTGCTTCAACACTTTCTCTGGCCTCATGTGGTCTGCTTTCCTTTTCCATTCAGCATTCTTTCTCCCCGGGGCTTAGGGCAGTCGTTTGGGGCTTGGATACCTCTGGCTTCTTGCTTGCTGCTTTTTGTGGGCTTTGTCTGATGTTGTTCCTTACTCAACACAGCTCAGGTGTAACTGGTCTTTTTGAGTGGAGCAAGGATTTCTGTCCAAACCATCCTTGCTCTCTCCCTCAGCTGTTGGTACCATTCTGCTCCCTCTTGTCCCTGTGGAACATAGCTCTCGAGACTGGCACTCTTCCTCCTCAGACTCACCTTGTCATATTCTTCAGTTTCTCTCTTGTCTCAAGTTCCAGCATCTCATCCTTTCCTTGAAGACCTTCCGTAACTCTGTGTCTCCCTTTGCACGTTCTCTTACCCACCACTGGCAACAACCTCGAGCTCTGGTGGTTTTGCTGTTACCTCTTTACTCCCTCCACGTTGCCTTTTTAGTCATGCATTCATCTGGTGAAACTCGTGGTATGTCACCCCTTCGAATTCTTCCTCTTGTGTCATTTCTGGTACGATGCCTTCAAGAAGTGGGTTGTCTCTGGCTTAGTGGAGGGGAGTTGATGATCACTCGCTACGTATTTTTAAATATTTCCCTGTGATTCAGAACCATCAAGCTGTTCTTCACGTCAGCCTTTATAGCCTTATGTTCTTACTTGCTGTTGATACAATCTTTCCCTTCTATTGTTTTTGTATTCAGCAATTACATTTTGGTTTGGGTTCAGGTAAGCTCATACATTGGCTAGTGCAGTACATGCTCATCTTGAGAGCCAGGGAGCCTTTGGATGCTGCCTGGCTAAAAATAGCAGGATAAAGATCAAGCAAAGATAGTGAAGATACTGGTGAGTGAATCAGAGAAACAAGACACTTTGCTTAATTGTAAACTCATCCTGAACAGTTCAGACCCGAGGAGTGGCTTTGAGAAGAATTTAGGCATCTCTAAGATCCAGTCCGAGCTGGTGGGTCATATTGTTCATAGAGTTTGTCGTCAACTCTTACCCTCCCAGGACAAATACACAGTACTTCATCGACTGTTCCTGTGCCCATTGTGGCTTCATCTGGACTTGGCCACGCGATAGTAGTTGGTTTAGTGCTCCAGCGGCGCTTCTGGTGAAGGTTTTGACGACTGTAGGGAGATGCTGGTGCATGTGGAGAGGGTTCTCTTCATGTCGGCACGTATGTGACTCACAGTGAAAGTGGAATGAAGTACTTGACTGAGTTGTATTTTGGTCACTCAGAGTCACACAAACCATGTGAAACAAAGCTGAAAATCCTGTAAGCTTCCCTTGAGTTTAGTAGGAAAAAGAGAAGGAGAAGGTTTTAAAACCTGCTTGAATCTATAAGAAAGATTTATGAACAAGCTCTTTTGATCCTGCATCTGTTTAAATTAGGAATACACTGCCTCTCATACTCTGTCCTTTTTCTGTCCACTCCTATTCTATGTCTTTAGGTTCAAGTCTTTCTCGCTGCCTTTGTTGTTGTTTATATGTGCTTGAGCTGCAGCTGATCCGCGCAGCCCTTGGTGACAGATGTCATCCTGGCCGGGCTCCGTAACCTAGGCTCCGTCAAAGCTCTGTGCCTCCCCCAGCCCAGCTGAGTTTGCTGCTTTTCATCCTCACGTAGCTCCTTGTATGTGTAGTTCTGCCCTTTGCTCGTCACGGCAAAATGCAGTCTTTTTGCCCTGTCACCATCAGGCTTTGTTTTGTGTTGCAATGGTCTTGCTGTGTCTGACACTTCGTAGGGTCTTTTCAGGCCCCATTTCTCTTGGCTGGCCTTCCAAGGAGCCATCCACTAGATGTTGCGTCCCGAGCACGTGCAAGTGTTGGACTGTCAGTTCCTTAGTGTCCTGTGCTTTCCTTTGGATGGGGACTTTGTCCTCGCTTCACTTTCTGAGGTGTCATGTCGCTCCCTCTGAGTACTGGTGGGTGGAAGGAAAACCGTAAGCAAATTGCTGCAGTTGACTTTGAAGGATGAGAATGTGACATGCAAGTGTGGAGCACGTAGCTGAGCAGAAGCTGACCTAGTCTCTTCCTCTTTTTCTTTAGGTTAACTGTAATGGCTTCACAATTGAAGATGAAGAACTCTCTCACTTGGGATCGGCCATATTTCCTGAGTAGGTTGATTTGAACATTTAAAAACAAAATTAACTTATTTAAACCCAAAAGGTTCTTGCACATGTATGGAAGTAGATCTCTGTTGACAGAAATTTAATTAAACACTTGATTTGTCTTGTTTTAAATAACTCTAATTAGCTAATAAAATGTGACCAATGATTTGCAGCAGTTTTTTGTAAAAATCTGGTAATTTTGGTAAAATTTGGTAATTTGTTTTGAAGCCTAGGTTGTCAACTATATGCAGGTTGGTAGGAGACACTTCCTTGGCTATAGCAGGTTCTGGACAGGGACATCTTGTCACGATCAAAGCGAAACGAAAGGGATTGCAGGTGACTTGCTGTATTCACAACTTTCTTCTCTTTTGGCTGGGTATGATCCTTCACCTGGTGTCCTCTGAACACCATCTCCTCTACCTCTGTTCCTTGGCAAACAGCAAATCCCTTTCGGAACTTCTTTTCAGCCTCCTCAGGTGTTTTAAAAACTGCGATGCTCGATGTCGCTGTGACAGGGGAAGAAGGGTGTCCTAGCGGCTCAGCTTTACAGCTAGGCCGCAGGTGGTGTCAGCGGCGCGCTGCGGGCGGGAGAGCACAGCTCTCTTGACGGCTGGGGAACGTTGCCTCCCTTTAAGTCTGTCCTTCCCACTTCACGGTGTAGCAAAGGAGGGTATTTTCTGCCCCTGTTCTTTGCAAACCCCGTACTGAAAGTGTTACACCTGCCAGCTTACGCTGACTTCCTCCCGCAGACTGCTAGTAGCTTATCTGCGGCAAAGGAATCTGAAACTCCCGGATGCCCAGTTAAAGCAGGACCTGATTTTGTTAAGTGCTGCATTCAGACAGTGGTAGGTAGTCCTTGCTTCACAGATTCTCCTTCCTCAGGCAGGTCTGTCTCAAGTCCATACCCCTGATCTACAGACCGGACATTGAGGCCTTGAAACGCCCAGGATCAGAGTCATGGTGGGGAGAGGAGAGTGTTAAACCAGGATGTTCTGGAAACGTGTCCCGCACCATCCTTTGTTTGTGAAAGCTCAGCATGCAAGAGCCAGATCTTTCCTACCTAACAGTTATGCCTGCGAGCTAAAAAGACTGAAGAGACAATTACTATGTTGCTAGAGTGGAAGAGAAGAGATAAAATGTATAATTTTAATTCTTAGTAAGCAGCAAATTTCACTTCTCCAAGCTTGGTAGTCAGGCGGGGGGAGTACTTTTCTCTAGCAGTCCAAGTTTTTGTGTAAGTTGTGTGCCTGTATCTCTTCCCTCCGACTTCAACCATGGAAGCTGTTTACATTTGCACAGAAGCCAGCTAAAATTTTAATGCTATTCTTAATTTGCTGCATCACAATTTACTTTCATTTTCCTGTATTTGTGTGTTTCCTTTAGGTTAATTGTGTTTCTCTTTCTTTCTTTCTTCTCTGAGGAAAATAGTCTATCGTAGGTGCCTAAACGGGAAGTCGATCGTTAAGCATTGTGAACACCCCCGTCAGCTGTCCTGTAGCACTGCAAGAATGGGAAGATAACAACTTGCCTAGTCCTGCAATAATAAAATTTAAAAGTTGTAATGATTCATTAGCAAGCCAATCTCTATATATCATTAGAATCAATAACAGTACAACAGATTTTCCCTTTTTTCACGTTAAGACTGAGAGTAAAAGCAGCTCAGAGAGACTGGCTTAGACTTTCAGACTTGTTTGTTCTGTGACATGGTGCTGAACTTTTTGCCTGTTGCTTGCAGTGGTGGAAAAGGTTTACTTTCCTGCTTTTCCAGTGTTGCGTTGATGAACCATAGCTGTTGCCCAAATGTGATCGTAACTTACAAGGGGACCTTGGCTGAAGTCAGAGCTGTTAAGGAGATCGAGCCTGGAGAAGAGGTAAATGCACTGTTTGAATGTACCTGCACGCATCCGAAAAGTAGGATCCATCCTGCTTTTCAGGATTCATTTCCATTAGATAACAACTTAATAATAGGGAGGAAGGAACTCTGGTTTCTTGGAGAGGTGTAAGATGTCGCTTTGGAAAAGGTGGGGTAGCTCTGAAGGGCGGGAGGGGTTCTCGGAGGCAGTGTCTTATTTTGTGCTAGAACAAGGGAAGGGCACCTGCAGCAGTGACTGACTATCTGCCACCCTCTCTCCCCGTTCACCCGTCTGTAAAATGAGGCTGACTTTGCTGATGTTTGGCTGCTGCTTTGAAATTCCAAGATCAAAGCAAATTCTTACTGCTGTAATAGCTCCCAGTGTAATAGTAATGTACTGAAACCGAAGCCAGAATAAACAAGGTAAAACGGGGCAGATAAGTCCTCTGACTTCTGTTTGGACACGGGACTCAGTCCTGTCACCTCAGCGGCGTTTGCTGGGAACTCAGGGAAGATTGAGTGTGTTTTTACGTGGAGTGAAGGTGAACAGTGATGGATAAAATTCTGTGAAATTGCCTCTGGGGTTTACCTGGGAACTTTCTCAGTCAAAGAATGAACTTGGCAGGGAGTCTTCAGCAGCAGAGCTGCTTTTTGCTTTTAAAAAAATAAGAAAAAAGGTGTTAAACAGAGTTGTGGAGGATGTTCAAATATCTGCAGGGGATGAAGATACAGAACATTCTCTCTGGGTATGGAGTTTGCATATGGCTGGTTTGTTAGTGTTAACTTAGCAGCCAAGGTTAATGCTCATCAAAATAGGTTCAGATTTGATTTTGACAACTCCTACCACTTTCTGAAGTATGTGATTCCAGTCCTGAAGACAGAAAGGGAGGTTATTTTTGTGGATTATAGCTGTTCACCCTTGCGAACAGAGACAGTTCAGTTGCTGGAGCCAAGGGTGAATGACCCAGGTGAGCACCTTCTTTTTCTGCCGTTTACTAATGAAGAGTTGCCTGTGATGTTGGCAGCCACTGCAGATGTGTTAAGGTAATGGACAAGGACTGACCCTGCTTTCGGAATTTTGCTGTGGAGTCCTGGACTTGTGCAGCGTTTCTGGGGAGGGCTCACTGTGAGAGGTCGAGATGTGGAGTATTTACCCCTTGCTGGGCATCATCTTTTGATTAAGCTGCGTCTTAGGAGCTCCATCAGTTCTCCAGGACCTCATGGCTGTCGCACGTTCCCTTTCCTGACGCTGAAGGGTTTTTTGTGTGTGGGCCGGTGGTTGTGCCTGGGCTCTGTGCAGCCTTATGGTGGCCTGTGTCTCCATCTGCTGGCTCCCGGGAGCCATTGCAGCGCTCCGCTCGCCGAGGTCTCGCTGTGCATGCGGTTCTGCATTTTGCCTGGCCTGGGAAGGGGGAAGAGGCGTGTGAGGGGAGGCGTGAGATCACACAGAGTAAGAACAGCAGCGTGTACTGTGTGCAGCTACGTGCACTTTGACTTTAGAGAAGTAAGAAACCTTAAGCGTAAAGACTAAGCCAAACGTTTCAAGGAACTGCAAATGAGGAAGGGGAAGGAAAGGTGTTCCTTGGTCTGCAAAAGGATCCATTGTACCATGCGTATGACGATCTCATTTCAAAACCAGAGCATTAAGGCTACTTGCAGGGTTTTTTTTCTTAAGACCATTGAAGTAGAGGAAAACTTAAGAATAGCGTATGTGAAGGGCCTTTAAACTGTTCAAAAGCAGATTTTCTTTGCTTTAAAATATTGCTGCTGAAGTAAATCTGATATTCGTTCTCCTAGAACTGGGGCACTGGGCCTCTCTTCCGAGATCTAAAGGTCTTGTCTTAAGTTTCTAAAGCTACCAGCAACTGCTGTTGCCCCAGTTTTTGTAGGTTTTCAGAAAGAAGAATTTGAGATTCCAGCCTCCAAAAGCCAGGCCACTGTGATTTATCCTAGGCTGAAATCATTATTTTACTTCTGAAAAGTAGGCACCTCTTTGTAGTCTGACAGGAGCCTGAGATTTATGCTGTGCTAGTTTCCTTATCCACACCTGAATCTCCCTGTTCTGGGTTTAAGCCAGGGTAGTATTTGAGGGAAATTCCGTAATGAATAGGAGAGGGAACACTTCTCTTGTCAGACTGCATTCACGAGAGGCTTGGAGTGCGAGGGAGCGGGCAGGTGATGTGGGTGCAGGGATCCACAAGTTGCACAGGTATGGGGTTGTCATACTGCGTATCCCAGAACTAGTCGTGATAAACGTGCATCATTCCACCGCTTTTCCCTGACTGCTGTGCTTTTACCACGCAGGTTTTTACCAGCTATATTGACCTGCTGTATCCCACGGAAGACAGAAACGACCGGTTAAGGGACTCGTACTTCTTTAACTGTGATTGCAGGGAGTGCGTTACAAAAGAAAAGGTAATAAAATTGGTGTGAAATACGCTTCTGACTGCCCAGGCGCCTACCTCGGGCCTCAGATGGAATATTCTGTCTGGTTTAATTACATTTTGGAAAGTAGGATTACAGAGGGGGGGTGGTTTTGTTTTTCTGACTAGAAGGCATTTCTGCTACGCATTCTTTCCACTGGAATCGTGACCAGGAAATTTCCTGGTAGAGACCTATTTAAAGTTGAGCTACAAAGCAAAGATGAAAACTTTGCTAAAAGTAGATAATTATACTGTGTCTATGCTACCCCACCAAAAGAATTTAGCTCAGAACTCGTTTCTTTTGTAACTGCATGTTTTCTACCAACTTCTAGTGAGTGAGTCTTGCTGGTGGCATTTCACAGAGCCACAGAATCGCAGCAGGGTTTGGGTTGGAAGGGACCTTACAGACCATCTAGTTCCAGCCCCCCTGCCATGGGCAGGGACACCTTCCACTAGACCAGGTTGCTCAAAGCCTCATCCAGCCTGGCCTTGAACACTTCCAGGGATGGGGCATCCACAGCTTCTCTGGGCAACCTGTTCCAGTGCCTCACCACCCTCTCCAGGAAGAACTTCCTCCCGATATTCAATCTAAACCTCCCCACTTTCAATTTAAACCCGTTACCCCTTGTCCTGTCACTACAGGCCCTTGTAAAAAGTCCCCCCCAGCTTCCTTGTAGCCCCTTCAGGTACTGGAAAGTGCTGTAAGGTCTCCCCTGAGCGAAATGAACTTCCCTGCAGTGGCGTCATATCGGTCATCTCATGGGCAGGGTGGTCCTGGGTCACAGCCCCCTGCGATGTGCAGTCCAGGGCTATGTTCGTTAGACGTCACGTGGTGCCCTTCGAAGGACAAAGGCAGGAGTCCAGGCACTGTGCTTTAAAACTGAGGGTTAGTTATTTTGAAGATGAGCACGCGCAGGTACGGGAAGGGAACCCAAACCCAGCAGGTACTGAGACAGCTGTGCCTGTGCAACCATTTGGACCTCCTTCTCCAGAGGTCCTAGGAGAATGGAGCTTTTTGTGGCTTGTCATTCCAGCCAAGATCAGTCAGGCTGGCACAATCTGATCCTTAACTTCCAGTTCTGGTTTTTCCCTGTTTTCACAAAGGTGGCCTTTTAAGAGCTGCTTCCCAAACTAACTAACCAACCACCATCTCCTTCCTCATCTCTTTGCACCTTTTTTCCAAAGAGCACCCAATGTTCTTGTTTGAGGCCGTTCTGTTGATACTGTAGTTGTGTTTTTCCCCACAGTTACCTTCATAATTTTCAGTTTAACGAAGCCAGGATTTCATCTGTGATTCCCAACAACGTGCTACTCTTGGAGTCACCTGTCACTCCGCCTCCTTCAGCTCTGGCAAGAGTCCCCCGTAGCCCTCTCGGCTGGGAGGTGAAATAAGAAAGGAGAAAGAAATGTAGCAACAGTGTGAGGCTTAAACAGCAACAGATTGTCTCCAGACTGCAGCTGACTCTTCACGAAGTAGTAAGTTAGACAGGAAGAGGAGAGTAAAGGGGGCTGTCCAGCAGAAATGCCAGAACGCGTGGACACGTGCATGGGAAGGATCCTCTGCCATCTTCAGTATCGTCTTGTTTTCCACGGAGCTGTCACTTGGTGGTAGGCCTAAGCTATTTGGGCTTTTCTAGCCTTAAAACTAAACTCGTAGTAATCCCTAATCTGTCGGAAGCAGTGAAATTCTCTATGTAAGACTGCTTTCATCACAAAATCCAAAAGCTCTTGGATCTTTCAAAAGAAAGGCACTTCATGGAAGTAGAGAATGGCAGTTGGACTGGAAGGTGCAGAGGATTCTAGGATTCCCAGCCAAGGCTTTAGAGAAAAATTGCAGGTGCACGTTCTACCTTTTTTTTATGTTCTTTGAAGAGCTTAAGTTCCCATCTGCGTCCTGTTATTAGAGTAATTTCGTGTGGCAGGTGCACCTTTATTCCTAGGGCTTGGAACCTGCGTGCATAATGGCCGTTGTGTTTCCTCCAGGATAAAGAGAAGCTGGAAATCCGCAAGCTGGATGATCCTCCATCAGCAGAGACCGTAAGGGACTTGATCAAATACGCCAGGAACGTGATTGAGGAATTCAGGCGAGCCAAACACTACAAATATATCCTTTGTCTCAGCCTGACTCCACCTGGGCCTGGAGAACCTTACCTGCTGGACTGTGTCGGCAGTGCCCACAGGAGAAGGGCTGCGACCGGTAGAAGTTCAACTCCTCTCCGTCCTCTCTCTGCCCGAAGAGCTGGGGACAAGGGGCGGTTTAGCGCTGCAGGTGGCGTGGGGCCGTCAGACCTCACGCGCCCTCTCCCCGCGTGGCTCTCTGCTTCTGCGCGCGCAGCACGCGCCCGCCTCCGCGCTGC